AAAAAATTTCCGCTTCACCCAGCCGGGAATCGAACCCGGGTCTCCCAGATACGCGCCGGGCACTCTTACCGACTAAGCTACCAGGAACCACAGAAATTCACTCTCAAATTCACCTCATACACCGCCTAACCACTTTTTTGCACTCGTTACGAAATATACAATTTTCATGGATAAACAAAAGAATACCACGTTGCATTTTTATACTCGAGATAAATGTCTCGTCGTAAGAAGTTTCAAATGGCCTGGTGGAACCTGCTGGAATACGGACCAGAAGGACCCCCTATTTATTGAAATGAAGAATAATGCGAATGATTGCTATACTAGATTTGTCATAATTTCTAGACGCAGACCATGAAGAGAGATTATTGCAAACTAATTTCGGGGTTCCAAGTTTTCAGATGATGGAAATGACGCGTTCTTATCGGTTCGGTACGTTGCAAGTAAATTGAGTCCGTGTGGATATCTGGAATGATGGTACGGGAATTTGCTAATCCTTGAAAATCAATGAGGACTAGGAAAACTGAGTCGTTAAGGACCGCTGAGGGCAATAATCATAAAGGCCGTTCTTCCGGGCTTTTATGTTTGTAATCGTAAACCGACTCAAATGTAATAACTGTTTTGAGTGGAGGGATTAGTGAGGATTTTAGTATCGGCAAGCGCTGATTGAAATTTCTGAAACTCGGGAAAATATCGACGGTAATAAAATATTGCCAGAGGGTATGTTTCAACCGTAATAAAAATCTTTGTTGGAAAAAAATTTCAACTGCACACCCAGAAAAATGGTTTATTTGAAATAAATAAATTATATTTAAATAAAAAAAATCCTCTATTAGAATTAAATAGACGATTTCGTTGATTCAAATATAATTTATTTAATTTAAATAAACCATTGTTCTGCATTAGCATTGTTCTGTATTGTTATGACTACACGGAGAGAAATTTTTGAGAAAAATTACCCTACCATTCTATAAAAGTGTATCATGAATCATCAGTTCTTCATTTCTATCCCGAAATTTAGTAAAAATCAATATATGATAATCAAATTTTATTCTACGTAAGAGAAATTTTATCCTGACGCATAATAAATTTTACCCTTCCAGTCCAGTAATTTTTATGTAGATAACAACGAAAATTCTAGAACGGTTGGTAAATTTTACTCTACCGGTATAGTAATTTTTACTCTACCGGCACGGTAATTTTTATTTCTATCAGGATAATCCGCGAGCGAAGTAAAATTCAATAAAAAGTGTGAGTTGGAACTGAAATTGTACAAATCGCCACATAAATTCTATGATTTGTTCCGTAAAAATTAACCACCCGTCTAACGACTCACGACTGTGGGAACAACAAGTCGTTCCGTAATTTTTCCCCACTGATGGAAAAAATTTACGGAACGGAATGTAGAAATAACTAACCAGCTTCATAAAAATTGTTGAACGTTCAAGAATTTTTTATTTTGAAGCATAATATAATAAGTTGAAAAGTTTCTGTAAGATTTTATATCTTCGGGAAAAATTACGTGACAATTTCTACTTTGTTCAGTGATGAACACGAAAATTCACTGAACATTTCAGATTTCTTCTCTTCCATTCCTATAAAAATTGCCGCAAAATGATTCCCCAGTGCGAATTACGTGAATTGTTCTATAATTTTTACTGAATTTCTCTCCCTGTAAGGAAATTTAGAATGGTCAATTCCCCAGGAATAGAGAATTTAGTATTTTCGAAGTAAAAAAATTAATTATTCAGGAAAAATCCCTTCTGTACCAGAACAAATTCATGGCGGGTTGTCTCACCGGGGCACAATGATAGAAGAACATTTTTTTTTACATCACTGTGCATGAAATGCCCAGCCGAAGTGGGAGAAGAAATATCATTTTTCAAAAAGAGGACGATTTGCGATGGATTTTTGCTTTGTTGACGAATAACTCCTTAACAAAGTGCCACTGTCAAAAATTTCATTACAGTTTTCGTCTGCAAAGAACCAGATAACATCCTGTATATTTTAATACACGTCACAACTGGCTTTGAGCTGCTTCGTTCAAACACTGCTCGGTTTACACCCTATTTACAAAATAGTGAACATGTTATGTGTTGCTCCATTTCGTTTCATTTACTTTTTATCTGCAAATATCCCTAACACGAGAAGATTTTAGAGATATTTTGGATAGATTTTTTCATGGGAAATTTTCGGAGCTACGAAAACAGTCTCTTTATAATTTTTCGTAAATATGTTCATTCTTGAGATGTTTAGGAAAATGGTGAAACACTTTTCTTTCATGAATATCCGAGACGCTTCATTTATAAAATTTACCAGATGAAAAAAATCTTTGAGAAATTTAGGTAAAAATGAGGTATCTGGCATCGAGGTATTCGCAAAGTTATGAATATTCTATGGTTGAATTCATTCCCTCCTATAAATTCCCAACGACATTTGATTAACGATATTAAAAACATATTTGAATGTACGAAAATTCTCTGATATTTCAGCTGCATTCATCATTCTTCTGGCGACGCTGCCAAAACGTGATGGAGGTACGAGAAATGGCACCGAAAACTTTGGCAACGTCGCAACTCTAGTATCAAATCACTTCGGTGAGCTGACCAACCCCATCAGACGGACATCTGCGACCACTCGAGCCACAGAATATCATTTGTATTCATGACCTCAAATCACTGTTTCATTTACTCACATATTATTGTCAGGTTGACCTTGAAGTTCCGGGTCGGTGAGTTTTTGAAATCGACTCGACACCTGTACACGCCCTCGTCACCTGGCCTGACATCCTGAATGAGGAGTTGCGCCGGTGGTCCAACCTGAAATGTCGCCCGACTTCCCCAGAATCTCGGCTCACTCCAGAGTCGAGCCTTTCCCGATTGACGATTCCTCGCATCGTAACTGCAAAAATTATTTCCAAGCAACAATATATAATTTTATCTTTGTAGTAATCTTAAACAAGACGGGACATTATTCCAATTAATGATTAATACAATTGCTCAAAGCTTTAAATTACGAGATAAGAGAAATAATTAACTGACTGGTCATATCGGAGATTCAGAAGCAAGAGAGCGAGGTGTCTCGTGTAAACTATGGGAACGCTAAATTTCAGTTTAATTATCTCATGAAAATGAAGAAAAATAAGTAAAGCTCGGGTAAATATATCCTTAAATTTTCAATTAATTAACAATTCATTATAATGTGGAACTGAATATTCATATGTTGATTGAAAATTAGGGGAAATTTCATTTTGTTATTGCTAAAAAATTTGTAATTCTATTGAGTTTTTAATTAATTTTTAAATCTCGTAATTGGTTTCTTCCAAATTGAATGCAATGTCACTCTTTTGAAAATTTGTCAACTGTCGAGAAACTTTCAATTTGTTTCCAACAGTTGACTTTAATGAAGGAATTTCCTTCTTTGCTTTGAAGGAATCTGCACTCCGAATTTCAGAACTTTTCGATTCTTAGAATGAGAACTTTAATCTAAGAACAATCCGAGTTATAAGATTGTGTAGTGAATTAAAATTTTCTGTAAGGTTTGAATTTAAAAGTATCCAACAGAAATGAGAAAAATGCCATCTGGGGGTTCCATCCAAATATAAAATCAGAGCATCTTACTTTCCCCAAGAACTATAATTTGATTGGATAATTCGATTTGTGAGAATAAGGCATGAGGTGAATTGCGACGTTGACTCGGTCTCATTTTTCGGATAGGCGCCGATCAGATAAGTACTTCATATTCTCTAAGAGTATACCCGATCTTGGCCACATGCACAAGTGCATTTTTTGACTTGAATAAAAATTTTCAATTTTTACTGAGAATTTTGAAGTCTATCGATCAAATTATTTCGAGATTGAGTCTTATTTTGAATTATAATATAATCTAACCTCCAATTTATATTCTTATAATCCACGTGGTTTCTTTGATGGTTAGAAAGGAGTGACGACTCCGATTATTTTTGGGGACACTATTTTTTGCGATGTATGAGATTTCTTTCTTTGTACAATTTTATCTGTAATAATTTTTGTATATGGATTATATGAGAATGTGATATTATTTTTATGAATTTTTGGTATGTTAATAATCTCCAGACATTTCGATAAATCCTGTGAGGTAATATTTTGGTATTCTTGTTGATAATTTGCCGAGTGATTAATGATATTTGTGGAATATTCTTTTGAAAAATGAAGGTACATTTATGAATATGAAAAATGACAATCTCATGTGAGAGTAACTTTTGAATGAATTTATTTTGTGAATAATCTCGTATTGGTCTGATGAGGGAGATTGTGATATTTTGATGAACTGATAAAAGAACTGTATAAATTTTCGATAACTATTTTCTATCCATGGTTAAATATTTGTTAATTATATATTTGAAAAGCTATTGAGAAATAACTTAACAGAACCTGATGAAATACATCGTGAAATGACGGACATTTCGTTTTTTGATTTCATTACAATTATTCCTGTGGATAATTTCAATTTTTGGGGTATTCTCCATCATTCGCAACATACAATTTTCATTTAATATTATTTTTAAAATCTACATCTGATTCGATTTATCAAAATATTCTTCAGACTCTAATGACCGCAGATAAATCATAACCGAAATTCATAAATTTGTTGATTATGGTATTTTTGTTTCTCGAGATTGGCTTGAATTGCTTGGGAGAGTTTTTCATCACTGGTGCTGTGATTTTTATTGTGTATTGAATCCTAGAAAATTTAATTATCTCTGTTCGCTTAACTTTACTTTGTGTTATCGGTCTCTTGACAACAATTCTCTCATGAAATTTGATTAAATTGATCTTACAATTGACTACATGAAGGTATACAACCTGTAAATTCAAAATTAATGAAACTTCTGGACTAAAATCTCGACGAAGTAAAATTTGAGAATTTATATAAAGAAATAGTTTCATGACAATTGAGAACATTGTCGTTTCTCAAAAAATGATTTTGCCTTGTCTGAAATTAAGCTATTTATGGTTATAAATTCTTAATATACCGACGTCGGTGGCTGAGTGGATTAGACGCAAGTCTAGTGTGCCAAAGGTTGTGAGTTCGATTCCCCGTGGAACCGAATTTTTCAACGGAAGGCCCGGCGAGCGGGAGGTTGCTAATAGAGGAACTACCTGTACCGTCATGGATTTTCTGTGGTTTCCCCATGCTACTTCTATGTTCTGTAGGAATGCGAATGCGGTACAGTGTAGAATCCACAGCCGCATGCATAGGGTTGGATAGAGTGCCGAATGGGACCCGAAAAGGGACTCGGAGGCCGTAAAATAAAAAAAAAACAAAAAATAAATTCTTAATATCATATCAATGTTTAATTATTCCAGTTTAAGGATATCCAAGTACTTTGGCTATTGTTTTTCCAGTGAAATGCTTTTTACGTTTATAGTAGAGATAGTTAGAAAACATCTTAAAAATTTGAAAAAAAAAATTAGAAAGTTTACTTTTGGGAGAAGATTAATAAAATGATTGAAAAATTGCCATTTTTTAAAATTACGAGCATTTTCTATAAATAATTCGTAAACAATAAATTTTCCATCATAAAAATCATTTGTTCGAAGTCGTACACTGTTAGAAATTTTTTGAAATTTCAAGTTTTAAGGAGAATTCACGGAAATTCATGAGTTTTCAATGGAAATGAGATAGAAATTTCACAACTTAATTGAATTGATTTAGTGGAACATGAATATTCAGAAACTAAATCACATGAATTTTCAATTTTTTCTGAATTTCCTTGATTTTTATGAATTTTCACAGAATAATTGAACTGAAAAATCAAATCTTTTATTCATTTTCAGATCATGTAAACAGAAAATCAATGGAATATTTGATTTTTCAATGACAAGATTTTCTGAATTTTCAGTGGGACTTGAGCATAGTAAAAATTTCTGGAATTTGGCATGATCAATTTAGACGAAAATTTTTAACCGTGTAACTTATTTATTCATAAACAGAATTTCACCAGACATCCATTTCACACTTAAAAAAATAAGGTATCCGGAAGTTTTACCAATTTTAATAATTTATTTATAAACAACGAATCATTAAAACGGTAATAACTCTGTGTAAATGTTATTTGAATGACGCTGAATATTCATAATTTTTTTCGAATTTTTCTCACGCAATGTAATTGACAAATTTCATGATTGCAAATGGAACTATAGTGTAAAGGTCAAAGTACAAACTGTAAAAAATACTTGCATATCCTTAAAATAAATATATTTTAGTTCACCTAAGAACCACTAAAACTCTGCCCACATGAAAAAAAATCGACTCGTCAAAAATTCATGTACTTTCATTCCGCAAGTTGGACGAATTTTCCGACATATATTCGTCCCCAAGGGAGTTATGTAAAAGTATATGGTTCAATAACTCCATCTCCTACATACATACATAAAAATACCCTTCATCTCTCATGCTGCTGCAGCTTATCTCCACCGAAAGCCACGGAATAAAAAAAACGCCCCGATTCCACCTCTTCCACACAGAAGTATATAGAAAAAACTTAAAATACATTAAAACATTAACATCCCACGTGTGATGCATAATGAGCGGACGAAATCCCTTTACGCGGCTGACCTCCGCGGAGTTTTACTACTGGGGCGTCAGAGAGCCCAGCGAGATGTTTTAGGATAATCGCTTTTACCGCACACCACGTCTGAAATACCCTGAAACTCATACTCGCACCAACGCCCGTCCTTGCGACTCACGAAGACTACGCTTCCTTCCACACGTCATGTCCCCTCGACCTCAGCAAATCTCGTACTATTATTCGCAAAAGAAAAATGCCAACTCATTTTAAATAAAAATTAAAAATAATTACTAGCATCAACGATGTTTTCCATAAAGAAATCCCTCAACAAAAGAAATCGGAATGAAAAGAGTTCCACTTTTCTGTAAACCCTCGTGACAGATGTTATAATGAAAAGTGTAAGGGGGGTGGTGGTGGTTTAGAGATATCCATGCGGAAATTCTTTAAATGGTAACGAAAGAAAATGATAAGAAGACGGGGTAACCACTCTTGGGATTCTTAAAAGGAGCTTAACTTTGCGCATAAAATTAAGCTATTGTAATTGTGGAAATGTGGGTGCAATTCTCTCTCTCCACTCTGCCCATCCCCTTTGCCCATCCCTCTGGACAGGTACAAGAGTAGAAAAGAAAGAAGGTGGTTAGTTTGTGGTGATGGCAGAAAGCAGCAAAACCCATCCTGGCCAACCGTCGCAGTGGGAAAATATAATTTGTCGTTGGCTAACTTTCGTTTCCCCGAGACGGGTTCGGGGACGTCTGTGGATGCAGTGCTTGCCACTGCAATGGTTTGAAATGAAAAAAGAATGAAAAAATTGAGAAAAAAATAAAAAAAATGAGAGAAAAATGGGAGAAATGAGAGGAAAAAATAGGGATGAAATATAAGTGAAATGAAAGTAACCGGAAAGATGAACCAGTGTACATATCCCAGTGTATATTGTTGAGGACTGAACTCTTGAGGAAAAAATTACCGTTGGCCCAGGGTGAAATTGCATTACCGAATAGATTAAAAAGTGAAGTGGCTGTGGTTAACCAGCGAGTTATTAAATTTTTCTTGGATCCATTTTAGAAAATTGTTTATTCTTCATGAGCATTTTCATAGAAACTCTATGAAGCGATTTTCCTCGTTAAATATGTCTGGAAAAAAATAAAAAGATTGAAGGAGGTGAAGTTTGCTGGAAATATACGTTTTCAAGTCAGGTAATCCTTTTCAATCAATTAGTTGGGAAGCAATTAAATAATTTTATAAATTAAGGATATCCAAATAAGGTGATTTTTTCTGGGGGAAATCTCCTTTCGAGTTTGTAGAATAGACCAAGAGTATTTTTGAAAAGAATTTTTGAAAAAATGAAATT